CGGCCGGCCGTCCCGCGGTCCTGCTCCGTGCCCGCGCGTCCCGGCCGTCCCTCCCGCCGTCCGCAGTCCGCCCGGCCCGCGCCCCCTCCTTGCTGGCCAGCGCAGCCGCCCTCTACCCCGGATCCAGAAGTCCCCTCCCCGCCGGCTCCCGGACTCCCCGCCTTAAAGGCACAAGCTCCTATTGTCTGGGCGCCCCCTCCCCCTCCACCTCCCGGGCCCCGCGCAGGGGCCCACTCCCCTTCCGAGGAGCCGGGTAGGGGTGGAGGAGCCCGAGCAGCGCCCCTCCCTCCGCGCGCCCCCTCCTCTCTCCCGCCGCTCCCTCCCCCAGTCCTGGGAAAACAAGCGGCTTCTGTTCTGGGATCAAGACCCCGAGGGAGGGGGCCGTCCCGCCCGCTGCCCCTTCCCTCCACCCCCCTACTGCCTCCTGCGGCGTTCTCCGCCCACCCTCACCCAGGGGTCCCCGGGCGCGCCGGCAAACGCACTCTGTCTCTCGGTGACTAGCCCCTATCCGGAGCACGGAGGGTCGGCTTCCTTCCCGCCGGGGTCGCCCGGGGCTGAACCTGCGCCCACTCCTCACTCCTCCGCCCTTCCTCCCTCCCTCGGCCCCCACCCTGCCATTCCCGCCCAGCCGCCACGGCCCCGCTCCCTCCCGCGGGAACTCAGTTTAATAATTAATTAAGATTTCATTCCACCGGGCGCCAGGTGTGCGCGGCCTGCTTCCCCACACGCCACTTGTTTCCTCCTCCCCCAACCCTCTGGGGCACCTGCCAGACGCGAACCTGCTGCACCCAGAGCCCAAGAGGGGAACTAAAGGAAGGGGCGCCCCCCGCCCCCTGGGTCCTCTCCTTCCCTCTCTCTCTCTCTTTCTCCCCCCCTTCCCTCTCTGGGCAGCCCCTCCCCCGCACCTGCCAACGTGCAGAGCCCCTCCCCCGGGCACCTTTTACCCAACGGGTTGTGCTTCCCTGTTGAGGGTGGGGGTGAAGGGGGGGTGCATGGCTAGGTGCACATACTGAAAAATTGTTGGGGACTTTTATTGTTTTCTCGCACAAAGCAGCAACCCAAGTTACCTGGGTGATGGGAAAATCACGTGGAAGCCGCTTTAACCCTTAAAGGGTTTGAAACGTGGGATAGCCAGAAAGCGGAAGAGGGTTAATTCCCAGAATGTAGGCGAGTGTGACTTTGTAATGAGTGCCATTGCCCCAGAGCTGGGAAGAGGGCAGCCTGCCTGGCTTCCCTTGGAGGCCTGGCCAGAGGTTCCCTCAACCGCACCTGTAGCTCCTTCTTCCTTTGGCAGCCTCTTCGCACCCCGAGGTCCCACTTCAGCTCACTCCTCAGCGCCTGCTACATTCTAGTCCTTCAAAGCCCAACTCTTGTCCATACCAAATCCCCACTTGGATTCCTAAACCCAGGACAGAGCTTGAGGCAAGGAAGAGAGGGGAGGAATTAGGAAAATTGGTTTCCATCACTTATCAGCCATATATAATCACAAATTATGTACTTTGGTAAATCATTACTCTCTTGGAGCCTCATCTATAAAATGGGAATTTTTTTTTTTAAGATTTTTTTTTTTAAGGGGCACCTGGGCAGCTCAGTCCCTTAAGGGTCTGCCTTTGGCTCAGGTCATGATCTTAGAGTCCCTGGATCTAGCCGGCCTCTGCACCCTGCTCAGCAGGGAATCTGCTTCTCCCTCTCCCTCTGCTCCTCCCCTACTACCCCCACCCCTACCCCCACTTGTGGGCGCTCTCTTTCTCTCTCACGCTCTCAAATAAATAATTAAAATGTAAAAAACAGAAACTTTTGGGGCATCTGTGTGGCTCAGTCGCTGAGTGTCTGCCTTCGGCTCAGGTCATGATCCCAGGGTCTTGGGATCGAGTTCCGCATCGGGCTCCCTGCTCCGCGGGAAGCCTGCTTCTCCCTCTCCCACTCCCCCTGCTTGTGTTCCCTCTCTCACTGTCTGTCTCTCTCAGTCAAATAA